CGTTAGCTTAATCTGTACTGTTTTTAAAGTCATGTCTTAAACGTTAGTTTAATGCGTACTATTTCCTAAATCATGTACTATTGGCTTTTTATAGATATCTATTCCCGATTCTCTTTCTAGTTGGATTATTCGAGAATGAAGATGACGATCTTTCTGAGGCCTTTCACTATGCTGTTGACAGGATTAACATCGACCTAAGCGTTCTTCCTAAGTCCAAACTTTCTACTCAAGTCGTTTGGTTGGAAAAAGACGATAGCTTTCAGGCTTCTAAAACAAGTAAGTCATTAGCACTAAAAGAAGAATTTGTCCAGTGTCATCTAGGAAAATAGTTTTCTTGATTTGTTTCTTTTGAATAAGGATCACTGAAATAGTAAATGTAATATAAAAGTCTTTCTGTGTATATATATTTTGAAAAACAAAAATCATAACGATATTCAACTGAAAAAAATTACAACATATTTTTGCTAACTAACATGGTAGAATTTCATTGTAATATATTATTATATTTCTACACAAACACCAATTCAAGTGTTACATAACTACTCTTCCAATTCAAGTGTTACATAACTACTCTTCCAATTCAAGTGTTACATAAATACTCTTCCAATTCAAGTGTTACATAACTACTCTTCCAATTCAAGTGTTACATAACTACTTTTCCAATTCAAGTGTTACATAACTACTCTTCCAATTCAAGTGTTACATAACTACTCTTCCAATTCAAGTGTTACATAACTACTCTTCCAATCCAGGTGTTACATAACTACTCTTCCAATCCAGGTGTTACATAAATACTCTTCCAATCCAGGTGTTACATAACTACTCTTCCAATTCAGGTGTTACATAACTACTCTTCCAATTCAGGTGTTAAATAACTACTCTTCCAATTCAGGTGTTACATAACTACTCTTCCACTTCTTTAGTTTTGTTTACTATGTTTAAATAGTTTCCTTAGTTTTATTGTTTTAGTTTGCCTTTCTTTTGTCTCTAATAAACTACAACGTACTGGTGTTTGGTTACGTTTGGATAATCAAGGTTTATTTCTGTTTTATAAATAAGTAGTAAAAAACTAGACAGGAAGCTAATTGTGATTAATATACTACATCAGCACGTGCATTATTCATTTGTTGTTTTTATCAAGCTTTACTTAAATTCCTTTAATAGGAACAAAACCCCAAATCAATCGAACTTCCAAGTTGACTCTTTTGAAAACACTCGACGGTCTACATGAAGCTATAAATCATTAACACAAGAGATATCAAAGAATACATAAACTTTAGCAATAACTTATCTCTGCTGAGTTTTCCTTTTAAAAAATTATTTTTTTTTCTTTTACAATAGCAAAGTTTGAGACTATGTTTAAGTTTGTAATGTTTTTGATTTCATGCTTGTAATGACGGTTCGAATGTCCGGCTTGTAAAATAAATAGTCTTTATTGTTTTTTAACCTACACAGTAAAAGTTAAATTTCTTTACATGATTCAGTTTATAGTCAATCTGCCACCTTTCAAAACGTTTTATATTTGAAATAAAGTTTCTATCACTTCTCATTCAAGTAATCTCCAAACTTGTTTCCTAAAAAAGTGGTCATCAAATCAGTATGCTACTTATAAATTATTTATATTGACTTACAAACAGGACCTTCACCAGTATTCTATAATTTGTAATTTTTCATTAGTAACGTTTCTGAGTTGTAGGCATCACGTGGGCTCAGTGGCAAATATGCAGACTTACAACTATAAACATTGGGTTTTCATACCCGTGGTAGGCAGCGCACAGACAGCCTTTTATTTAATTCTGTGTTTATTAACATCCAACTGAAGTGTATGTTACAAACAATGAAGGAGATAATCCTTAGTTAACTACAACTTATCAACATCCAACAGAAGTGTATGTTATAAACAATGAAAGAGATAATCTTTAGCTAAGTCCAAATTATCAACATCCAACTGAAGTGTATGTTAAAAACAAAGAAGAAGATAATCCTTAAATAATTCTAACTTATCAACATCTAAGTGAAGTGTATGTTACAAACAATGAAAGAGATAATCTTTAATTAATTCCAACTTGATAACATCCAACTGAAGTGTATGTTACAAACAACGAAATGGTTAATCGTTAGCTAATTCAAACTTATCAACATCCAACTGAAGTGTATGTTACAAACAACGAAGGAGATAATCCTTACTTAATTCCAACTTGATAACATCCAACTGAAGATTATGTTACAAACAATGAAAGGGTTAATCGTTAGCTAATTCCAACTTATCAACATCCAACTGAAGTGTATGTTACAAACAATGACGAAGATAATCCTTAGTTAACTACAACTTATCAACATCCAACTGAAGTGTATGTTATAAACAATGAAAGAGATAATCTTTAGCTAAGTCCAACTTATCAACATCCAACTGAAGTGTATGTTACAAACAAAGAAGAAGATAATCCTTAACTAATTCCAACTTATCAACATCTAACTGAAGTGTATGTTACAAATAATGAAAGAGATAATCCTTAACTAATTCCAACTTGATAACATCCAACTGAAGTGTATGATACAAACAATGAAAGGGTTAATCGTTAGCTAATTCCAACTTATCAACATCCAACAGAAGTATATGTTACAAACAACGAAGGAGATAATCCTTAGCTAATTCCAACTTATCAAAATCCAACTGAAGTGTATGTTACAAACAACGAAAGAGATAATCCTTAACTAATTCCAACTTGATAACATCCAAATGAAGTGTATGTTACAAACAATGAAAGAGATAATCTTTAACTAAGTCCAACTTATCAACATCCAACAGAAGTGTATGTTACAAACAAAGAAGAAGATAATCCTTAACTAATTCCAAATTATCAACATCCAACTGAAGTGTATGTTACAAAAAATAAAAGCGATAATCCTTAACTAATTCCAACTTGATAACATCCAACTGAAGTGTATGATACAAACAATGAAAGAGATAATCCTTAACTAATTCCAACTTATTAACATCCAAAGGAAGTGTAAGTTACAAACAATGAAAGAGATAATCCTTAACTAATTCCAACTTATTAACATCCAACTAAAGTGTATGTTACAAACAATGAAGGAGATAATCCTTAGCTAATTCGAACTTATCAAAATCCAACTGAAGTGTATGTTACAAACAATGAAAAAGAAAATCCTTTGCTAATTCCATCTTCTCAACATACAGTTGAAATGTATGTTACAAACAATGAAGGAGATAATCTTTAGCTAATTCCAACTTATCAACATCCAACTGAAGTGTATGTTATAAACAACGAAGGAGATAATCCTTAGCTAATTCCAACTTATCAACATCCAACTGAAGTGTATGTTATAAATAATGAAGGAGATAATCCTTAGTTAAATACAACTTATCAGCTTCCAACTGAAGTGTATGTTACAAACAATGAAAGGCATAATCCTTAACTACTTCCAACTTATCAATATCCAACTGAAGTGTATATTACAAAAAATGAAAATGATAATCGTTAGCTAATTCCAAATTATTAACATCCAACTGAAGTGTATGTTACAAACAATGAAAGAGATAATTCTTAACTAATTCCAACTTATTAATATCCAACTGAAGTGTATGTTACAAACAATGAAGAAGAAAATCCTTAGCTAATTCCAAATTATTAATATCCAACTGAAGTGTATGTTACAAACAATGAAGGAGAAAATCCTTAGCTAATTCCAACTTATCAACATTCAACTGAAGTGTATGTTAAAAACAATGAAAGAGATAATCGTTAGCTAATTCCAACATATAAACATCAAACTGAAGAGTATTTTTCAAACAATGAAGGAGATAATCGTTAGCTAATTCCAAATTATCATCATCCAACTGAGAATTATGTTACAAACAATGAAAGAAATAATCCTTAATTACTTCCATCTTATTAACATCCAACTGAAGTGTAAGTTACAAACAATGAAAGAAATAATCCTTAATTACTTCCATCTTATTAACATCCAACTGAAGTGTAAGTTACAAACAATGAAAGTGGTAATCCTTAACTAATTCCAACTTATTAACATCCAACTGAAGTGTATGTTACAAACAATGTAATAGATAATCCTTACCTACTTCCAACTTATTAACAGTGTATTTTACAAACAATGAAAGAGATAATCTTTAACTAATTCCAACATTTTAACATCCAACTGAAGTGTATGTTACAAACAATGGATATAATCCATAACTAATTCCAACTTATTAACATCCAACTGAAGTGTAGGTTACAAGCAATGAAGGAGATAATCTTTAGCTAATTCCAACTTATTAACATCCAACTGAAGTGTATGTTACAAACAATGAAAGGCATAACCCTTAACTACTTCCAACTTATCAACATCCAACTGAAGTGTATGTTACAAACAATGAAAGGGATAATCGTTAGCTAATTCCAAATTATCAACATCAAACTGAAGTGTATGATACAAACAATAAAAGAGATAATCCTTAGCTAATTCCAACTTATCAACATCCAATTGAAGTGTATGTTACAAACAATGAAACAGAGAATCCTTAGCTAATTCCAACTTATCAACATCCAACAGAAGTGTATGTTACAAACAGTGACAGATATAATCATTAGCTAATTCCAACTTATCAATATCACACTGAAGTGTATGTTACAAACAATGAAATACATAATCCTTTGCTAATTTCAACTTATCAACATACAACTGAAATGTATGTTACAAACAACGAAAGAGATAATCCTTAACTAATTCCAACTTATCAACATCCAACTGTAATGTATGTTACAAACAATGAAGGAGATAATCCTTAGCTAATTTCAACTTATCAACATCCAGCTGAAGTGCATGTTACAAACAATTAATGAGATAATCCTTAGCTAATTCCAACTTATCAACATCTAACTGAAGTGTATGTTACAAACAATGAAAGAAATAATCCTTAACTAATTCCAACTTATCAACATCCAACTGAAGTGTATGTTACAAACAACGAATGAGATAATCTTTAACTACTTCCAACTTATCACCATCCAACTGAAGTGTATGTTACAAACATAGAAATGGATAATCCTTAACTACTTCCAACTTATCAACACCCCACAGAAATGAATGTTACAAACAATAAAAAGGGATAATCGTTAGTTAATTCCAAATTATCAACATTCAACTGAAGTGTATGTTACAAAAAATGAAAGAAATAATACTTAGCTAATTCCAATTTATCAACATCCAGCTGAAGTGCATGTTACAAAGAATGAATGAGATAATCGTTAGCTAATTCCAAATTATCAACATCAAACTTAGATGTATGATACAAACAATGAAGGAAATAATCCTTAACTAATTCCAACTTATTAACATCCAACTGAAGTGTATGTTACAAACAATGAAAGAGATAATCCTTAGCTAATTCCAACTTATCAACATCCAACTGAAGTGTATGTTACAAACAATGAAAGAGATAATCCTTAACTAATTCCAATTTATCGACATGCAACTGAAGTGTAAGTTGA